ATAGCCCAGTATGAAAATAACTTGTATCCAATATTGGATGATCTGGAAAAAGAAATGTGACCCCTGAGCACAGAGCTGAGATCAATCCTTGAGCACTGCTGGGTATGACCCCAAACACCTTGGTTTCTGGAAAGAGGGAAGAATCTACAGGAAATTATGCCAAGGAAAATAAACCAGACACAGCCAAATACGGTATGGAATCACATATATATGGCATCTACAAAAGGAAAAAGAAATTTGAATAGTGAAACATACAACGGCAAATTGCATCTCTTTTTAAAAATTTTTGGGGTTTGGGCCATATCCAGTAGCCTTCAGAGTTTAGTTCTTGCTCTGCTCTCAGAGATCATTCCTGGCAGTGCACTTTGGATATCATATGCGGTACCGGAGAGTGAGCCTGGCTGAGCCTCATGAAGGCAAGCACCCTACCACCTGTACTATCGCTCCGGCCCCATCTTGGGTTGAGTCTTATTGACTATGATATTTGTATTTATTTTTTGCCATATATTAAATATAGAACAATGTTCTCATTTTAAAAATTCATACAAATATAGATCAAGTCCCTCTTGCTTACCCTCCAATCAAAGCCCTATGCAAGGTTTGGTACATATCATTGTGCCCTTTTGATACAGATTAATATTCCCCTTTCTTCCCTAATTACTGTTTTCAGGAAAAGGAAGGGATTAGTTTTATTTATTATAATGGTGCATGCAAGGCAAATACCCTACCACTGTGCTATGGCTCCGGCCTGGCCGAGCCGGGTTCAATTCCTCTGCCCCTCTCAGAGGGCCCAGCAAGCTACCGAGAGTATCTTGCCTGCACGGAAAAGCCTGGCAAGCTCCCCGTAACGTATTCAATATGCCAAACACAGTAACAACAAGTCTCACGATGGAGACGTTAATGGGCCCGCTTGAGCAAATCGATGAACAATGGGAGGACAGTGACAGAATTATAATGGTGGAGTATTTAAGAGTTCAAAGATTGATTTAAACGGCTTATTTCAGCCCTGATCCTAATGAATTATGTAGCTGAGTAAGGGAGGGGTCTTAAAAAATTGGGCAACAGGTTTCTGAACACACAACCAGCAAAAAATGAATTGAGAACTCACCTGCACTTGCCTGGTTTGGGCAAAGGGCTCACAGAAGAACAGGGTTTAGAAGCCCCAGTACTCCCCCACAGCACGGCTTTTGATCAGCAGCAATATGCCTAATTACCATGAATTTGGACTCCCATCTTCCAAACTTGTCCTCTAATTATGACCCTATTTTTAGTGACATATCATTATTAGAGCTATGTAAATATCCACTGTGGATTCACACAGGATAAACCTATTTTGAACATTTGTTTAATGGAAAACTTACCATCTTCCTGCTTTTTTTGTGATGTTTTCGCTTTAGTCATCCTCTCTTTTCTTTCTATTTTTGAGAAGGCCCCTCCAAGCTGTGCTCAGGAGACCCTGGGGCCCCTCCTGGAAGTTCTCAGCCCACTGGGGTGGCTGGAGAAAGCATTGCTGCTCCGGCCTTTTGGTGCCTGGAGACTGAGGCACTTGACAGTTTCCAGGGCCACACCCAGTAGTACTCTGGGGCCTCCAGGGCTTTACCTAATGGTGCTTAGGGAACCTGGTGTTGGGGATCCAACAGGGCTGTCTGCACGGAAGGCAGCGCCTCAGCCTCTATCCTTTTTCTCCAGACCCTCACCCTTGTCTTTCAAGAGTTCCATTGTGGTAAGCCATGGCCCCAGAGACTGAGAAACAAATCCTGGAACCCAGCGGCTTTGGGCAGAAATGCATCCAGACTCCGCATTAGGTTACCAGCCCCAGGCCACCCCAGGTGGGAAAAGGTGCTGATCCACCGCCTGTTCCCCCTGGCAGCTCGAGGTCCGCCATCTTCCAGAGGCCAATGGGGGGCCAGGTAGGGGCCCTCAGTGGCGAGACACGTGGGGCCTCGTGGGGTGGGGGTGGAGCCAGCCCTTTACTCCCCTGCCCCACTGAGACCCTGAGTCGCCACCCACGAACAGGCCCTTTGGCTACTTAACAAGCTGCTTAAGCCATGATCCCAGAGACTCAGAAACAAATCTTGGAACCCAGAAGTTTTTGGCAGAAATCCCTCCAGATTTAATTATTAAGATTTCAGAATTCCAAAATCATATCCTATTCATAATCAGCAATAGAAAACGAATTGTCTATGGTTGCCTTTTTGGCAGATCTGAGTGTTGGGGTAAAATCCCAAATAATAACAGTGTGTCTGGTGTTGAAATATTGAATGTAATCAAAGTAGAGAGAGAGTAATGTGGAAATCATCTGCCCCACAGATAGGAGGAGGGTGTGGAATGAGGGGTATACTGGGGTTTTTGGTGGTGGAAAATGTGCACTGGTGAAGGGACGAGTGTTTCATCATTGTATGGCTGAGACTTAAACCCGAAAGCTTTGTAACTGCTCTTATGGCTATTCGATAAATAAATTTATATATAAAAAAAGAGTTCCATTGTGGCCAGAGTGCTACTACAGCAGGTAGGGTGCTAGGCTTGCATGCAGCCAATCAGTGGTTTCCAGCTCTGGCACCCCATATGGCACTCTGAGCCCCACGAGGAGTAATTCCTGTATGCAGAGTCAAGAGTAATACCTGAGCACCACTGGATGTGGCCCCAAAGCAAAACCAAAAAAAGAGTTCCAGCATGGCCAGAGAGCTAGGACAGTGACTGAGGCATCTGCCTTGCATAGAGCCAACCTGGGTTTGTCTCTTTATCACTGCCAGGAGTGAGCTCTGAGCACTGCTGGGTGTGGCTCTGAAACAAGACATGAGTTTCATCAGAGAATATGTATTTTTTGCTTAGAGACTGATCTCACAGACCTGTGCGCCCTTACTCACCTGACTGGAAAGGTTCTTACAAGTGTGAAACTCAGCTAGTGTCTTGACACTTTTCTCTGGCCTCCTTTAAAGAGGTGTCTGGCTCATGGAACCCTTTTGGAAAGCCTCCTAGTTTTAGGTAGGAAGCATTCTTCATCTTATAAGAATGACTGCTGGGCCAGAGTGACAGTCCAGCAGGGAGGGTCATTGGCCTTGCACTGGTTGACCCAGGTTGGATCCCCGGCATCGCATAGGGTCCTCCGAGCACTGCCAAGAGTAATTCCTGAGTGCAGAGCCAGGAGTAACCCCTGAACATTGCCAGGTATGATCCCAAAAGAAGGGAAAAATGCTTTCCTTCTCTTTTCCTTATGCAATTAATTATTGACTGCTCATAAGTGCATCGATTCCATAATGTGTTTGACCACAAAAAAATCTTCTTCAAGCAGTCAGCTGTCCATGAGGATTTTGTGAAACACAAGTGGGGAGAAGGCTTCCCTTTGAGGGAAAGCTGGACTTCTCTATGGATTGGGTTGCAAATATTGTATGAGATGGCAAGGTTTCTGAGGTAACTATTGGGTACTTTAGTGAAGGTACATTTCCCCCTGCTATTTGTGTATCTACTTTACCCTTGTAATTTAGATATTCATGTCCACTATTCTTAGTAGACTTGAATATTTCTATTCATGCCCACTAAAATAGTGGACATGAATATTTCTAGAACTGTGGTGGGAGGTTTTTGTTTTTTTGGGGGAGCTGTTGTTTTTGTTTTGCCCCCACCAGTGCTCAGGGGTTACTCTTGGTTCTGCACTCAGGAATTACTCCTATAAGTGATCAGGGGACCCTATGGGATGCCAGGGATCAAACCCAGGTCAACCGAGTTCAAGGCAAGGACCCTCCATGCTGTACTCTTCTCTGGCCTCTGTAGTGGAATTTTATGTTATGTATTTTGCTTCACTGTGCTCATTTTCCCTGAGAATAGCTGATTATATGTTGGGCATTGTGTTGGGTGACTAAATGCATTCTGTGAAGGGGTAGATTCCATTAGCTTTGTGTTCGAATCAGTAAATAGGAGCTCAGAGAATGCAAAGGACTTGGCATTAGAAACTAGAGCCAGGGTTTGCACATAGGCAGTCTTATTCAGAAGCTGTGTGCTCCGCTTTGTTCTGTACTTTGCTGACTTATGTATGTACACTGGTGATTTGGATCTCTGTCTTAGCAAACTGTTCTGTGGTTTATTAAGAGCCTTCACTATTGTGTATGTTCATTATGTTTATCCTTTTGTTGTTGTTTTTAGACCACACCCAGCAGTGCTCGGTGTTTACTCCTGACTCTGTGCTCAGGGATTACTCCTGGCATGCTCACAGGACCACATTGGGGTGCTGGGGATTGAACCCAGGTCGGCCTTGTGCAAGGCAAACACCTTACTCGCTGTACTATCATTCCTGTACCAGTTTATCCCCATTTACCCCATATTTCTTCCTTTGTTTTCACCAATTTAATTCAGTTGAGCATTTAATTATTGAAAGTCTGAGGATACAGACCGCAATTAAGCTTTGAATAACATAGGTTTGAGCTCCTCATGTTTTCCTATTTGTTTTTGGTGGGAGGAAAGTTTTGAGCCACACCAGTGGTGCTTTGGGATTATCCCAAGCGCTGTGGTCAGGGATCAGGGAACCTTGTGTGTATGTGCGTGTGAATGCACATGCATGTGTAAGGGGGTTTGAACCCAGTCTTACTGAATACAAAGTGCTCAGTCCATTAACTCTCTGTCTCACACTTAAACTTTTAATTTATTTTTTCATGTAGTTTTTACTCTTTCTTTCAGTCATATTTCATGAAATCAGTATAGAACTTAAAAGTGAAAATCTTTGCAAATCTGCATGTGGTATCATGTTTCATCTTAGTACTGTCTTGTGATCACAAATATATATATATGTATATATATGTATATATGCCACAAAGCAGCAGCAGTGCAAAACCAATCTTTCTACCATTGTTGGACTACGGGTTAAATGTGACAGGGATTTAACCCAATGATCTGATGTGTGATGATACCAACTAATATTTTTCATCTATCTGGTGAGAGCTTCTCATATGGAATGTGCTTGGATCTGGGTTATATGTAACCAGAGTATTATTCTTTCTAACCATCAGGTGTCTGGGTGCTGGGGTGCCACAACTCAGACTTTCGGAACAGAGGCATGACAGCCTTACTGAAGGTTTCTAGTTGTGACGGGAACACTGATGATTATTATGAAGACACATATGAAGATATTTCAACGTTCTTAGTGGATGACAATGATGTCATTGAACCCAGAAGCTTTTCCCAGAATTCAAGGTACCCTAGTAATAGTCACAAGCAATTTAAATCCAGCACAATTCCAGAAAACGACCTAGAGAAGCTTGACCACCAATCTGGAGAGAGAACACAGCTGCTTAAATCACAGAATGTCTCATCCAGTGATTTGCTGATGATCTTGGAACATCCTACTCCTCCTGGATTATCCTTCTCTGATCTCCAAGAAGCCACATCTGTGGCTTCAGACCATTTACCCAGAACAATAAAGTGTAACAGTTCCCAGTTTTCAGCACCATGCCTTCAAACAGAATTTCATCTCAGTACAGACAGAGTCTTTACTGAGCCAGAACTTCCATTAAGATTGAATGAGAATCTGGGCACAACAATATCAGTGCAGTTGAAGAAACTTGATTTAAGCACTTCTAATTTATCAAATAATCTAATAGCTTCCCCGCAAATTTCATCAGGCACATTGGCAACAAATCTCGAAAAGGAAAGCAGTTCCTTAGGTCCCCCAAAGATGCCAGTACACCTTAGTAGTCAATCAAACACCTCTGGACTTGTCAGAAAGTCATCTCGTCCTATTGGATCCAATGTATCTTTCGGCTTGGGTCAAGGAGATAATAATCCCAAATTTTTAGAAGCAGCTTTAATGAACAGTCAAGAAAGATCAGTGGGTGGAAATGTCTTACCAACAGAGAGAAATGGGCTACTTGAAAACAGAAGAGGTATCGGACCGGCTTCATTGACTAAAGCTGATACTTTATTCAATGCTAATATCTCTTTGATAAAGACATACAAGACACTAAAAAACTCAACAGCTAATGGAAAGTCTTACATTGATGAACCAATATTATTAACTGAGAATAAAACATCAGTCTGGCAAGATATATTAACAAATAATACTGAGTTTCAAAAAGGGACTTCTTTGATTCATAATGAAACATTTATGAACAAAGACACCACAGGTTTGAGGTTAACTCCTGTGTCAAATGAAAGTTCTTCCTCAAAAAGTATGGAAATGGTTCTGCAAGAAAAAGAGGGTCATGTACCACAAGGTGAAGAAAATTTGTTTGTCAAGATGCTCTTCTTTCAAGGGTCAGAAAATGAAATGAAAAGGACTACTGACAGAAGTTTTCTGAGCTCTGGGCAAAGACCTGGTCCTAAGCACTCAACATCTATAGGATCAGAACTATTTGTACAAGGTCATAATTTCCAGTCAGAAAAGAGTAATGCAATAGGGACAGAGGATGAACTTACAAAGGATACAGGATTCAAAGAAATGACTCTTCCACGTAGCAGGGACATATTTATTGGTAATTTGGAAAATGTCCAAGAAAATGATCCACAGAATCAAAGAAAAAAATCTCAGGAAGACACAGAAAAAAAGGCACCTTTAGTCCAAGAAACTTCTGTTTCACCTTTGATGAATAATGTGACTCATACTAACAATTTCCTGAAAGCCCCTTTCTTACCAAGCTCAAGGCCAAATATAGGAGGTGTAAGTGAAGGGACATATATCCCCCTACTTCATGACCCCAGGGCATCAATTGATTCGACCAGTACAGCAGGGTATAACATAGACTGGATCTCCAAAGCAAAGGGGGAAGTGAACTTGGAAGACATAGGAAAAGAAACAAAGCAAATGGTAGAAGAGTATCCAGGCACCACAAGGATGTCCCCTATTCTAACTCAGGAGAATGCCACCATTCAGCGTGGTAAGCGAGCTTTGCAACAACTCAGACTCCCACTAGGAGAAAAAGAATTTGAAAGGGGGACAATAATAAACGACACCTCAACCCAGTGGCCTCAAAACTTGACGTCTTTGACCCCAGACTCCTTCAAACAAACAGAGTACAAAAAGAAAAATAAAAGAGGCGTTATTCGGTCCCTCTTCACAAACTATTTGGTGAGAAGTAGTGGCATCATCCAAACAAATGAGTCGGTGTTACCTGTTGCAAAGATATTGGTCCCTCCATCAATTAGACCTACAGATCTGAGTAGGATGCCATCCCTGGACAATTCTTCTCAACTGCTAGCAACAGCCTGCACTTATACTTTTAGAGAGAGGAGTCCTGAGATCCAAGAACACAGTCATTTCTTACAAGTAGATAAAAAAGATAACTGCTCTTTACTCATGCTAAAATTGGAGATGATCAGAGGTCAAAGAAAAGTCAGCTCCTCGAGAAAAAGTGACATGAGTTCAGTCACATACAAGAAATCTGAGAATACACGTCTCTTGAAACCAGGAATGTCTGAGATATCTGACCAAGGTGAATTGCTGCCTGAAGCTCACAGTCATCAGGAAGATTCTTTCCCTACAGAAGCTATAAGTGGTTTTCCTGACCACCAGAATATCATGAAAGAACTTTTCCTTCAGAAAACACAGGGGCCTGAGAAACCAAATAAAGTAAATAGACCTGAAAAAATTCCCTCTCTGAAATGGGTCACAAAAAACTTTAGAAATACCCCCTCTGAACGGCTGGATCCCTTGGTTTGGGATGACCAGTATGCTACCCAGACACAAACAGAAGCATGGGAATCCCACGTGTTACCACGAAAAAATATAGCTTTTAAGACAAAGTACCCCATTTTGACCCTGGATCCTTGGAAAGACAGGGATTCAATAGCAGCAGAAAGTGAAAGACAAGACAAGCTCCAGAGAGAAGCCAACTGGGCAAAGTCAGGAGGGACTGGAAGACTGTACTTTCAAAACCCGTCTAAACGCCACACCAGGGAAATAACAATCCCTACTCTTCCACCAGAGGAAGAAAATGCAGACTATGATGATGCCATCCCAGCTGAAAACAAGAGTGAAGACTTTGACATATATGGTGACGAAAATCAAGGCCCACGCAGCTTCGAAAAGAGAACCCGGCACTATTTTATTGCTGCAGTGGAACGGCTCTGGGATTATGGGAGGAATAGATCACCCTATTCAGCAAGAAACAGGTATGGGGACATCGATTATTCCTTACTCCTGCTGTGGTGTGACCTTTCACTTTACCAGGTGCTGAAACTCTCCAAAAGGCAGAGCTGATATGCAGCAGTGGGATCCTAAAGATTGCTTTGTAGGAGAACCCTGAGAATCAGGTGGCAAGGTTCAGATGACACTGAGGGGTAAATGAGGGTTCAGTAATGACCTCAACAATGAGAGTTAGGGGATGCTGAATCCAGATGACATGAACATTTTTCTGAAGAGTTAGCAAGAAATAGGTGTTGATGAAGGCTGGAGCGATAGCACAGCTGGTAGGCCATTTGTCTTGCACGCGGCTGACCCAGGTTCGATTCCCAGCATCCCATATGGTCCCCTGAGCACCGCCAGGAGTAATTCCTGAGTGCATGAGCCAGGAGTAATCCCTGTGCATTGTCGGGTGTGACTCAAAAAGAAAAAAAAGAGGAGTGGATGAAAAGGTAGAAGATTCAGAGTCCAAAGTCTTCAGTGGGGAGCAGGAAGAGGCCACCTCACCCACTTTAGTAGCTACCGGGAAAATCTTGTTCTCTAGGGAGAGTCCTGAGCGAGGTAGGAGGAAGTAGCAGTGTGTGGATCAGGGACTGAACCACAGGTACTCTTGTTTTCCTGGGCACTGAAAATCCATGGGTAGAGTGAAAGAATTTGCTTGCGACTGGGCTAGTGAGTAGGCTGGGCTGGGAGAGAAAGCCCAGAAAAATTTCAAAGATAAGCATAGGGACAGTCAAGCGGTTAATGAATATTTGAATCCTTACTCTATTACAGACACTTCTGTAGAAGGGACTGGAGTGCTGTCAAGTAAAAACTTACATTCTCTTGAAGACTGCCAACACAATAGATTAATAGGGAAATAATTTTTTAATTTAATCACCATGATATATACATTTGCAAAGTTGCTCATGATTATGCTTAGTCATACAGTGTTCCAATGTCCATCCGTTCACCAATGCACGTCCTGCCACCAATGACCCCCACAGCCTGCCTCTATGGCAGATATTTCTCTCTCTCTTGTTTTTAGGCACTTGGTTTGCACTACTCTTACGGAGAGGGTAGCACTGTAGCATTATACTGTCCTCCCATTATTCATCGATTTGCTCGAGCAGGCCCAGTAACGTCTCCATCATGAGACTTGTTGTTACTGTGTTTGGCATAACGAATACGTCATGGGTAGCTTGCCAGGCTCTGCTGTGCGGGTGAAATACTCTCGGTAGCTTGCTGGGCTCTCCGAGAGGGGCGGAGGAATCGAACTCGGGTCAGCTAGGTTTGCCGCATGCAAGGCAAATGCCTTACCCACTGTGCTATCGCTCCAGCCCACTGAGCGGGTATAATGCATATTACTTTGCCTCCTTTCAGCACTCAGTTTGCGTCCAGTGTGGTCCCTTCCAGCTATCATTTTATAGTGGCTCCTTCTCTGCCTTAACTGCACGCCCCCTCCCACTCTGTGACAAGCTTCCTACCATGGACCAGTCCTCCTGGCCCCTGTTTCTACCGTCTTTGAGTTTAATTCACATACTATTTTTTATATCTGACAAATGAGTGCAATCATTCTGTGTCTGCCCCTTTTTCTCTGACTCATTTCAGTCAAAATTATACTCTCCCTGTCCATTCATATAGAAGCAAATTTTATGACTTCATTTTCCAAACAGCTTCGTAGTGTTCCATTTTGCAGATGTACTACAGCTTCTTTATCCAGTCGTCTGTTCTCAGGCACTTGGGTTGTTTCTAGATTCTGGCTATTGTGAATGGTGCAGCAATGAACATAGGGGTGCAGATGGCTTTTCTTGCATTGCATTTGTGAGCCTTGGGGGTATATTCCAAAAAGTGATATTACTGAGTTATATGGAAGCCCAATTTCTACTCTTTTGAGGAATTTTCATATTGTTTTAATAAATAGAATTTCTTGAAAACACTGCTCAGAAGGTCGAGATGAATAATAGGCTAGAGAATGACAGAGGTGGTCTGGGCCTTATATAATTTGAAGGGCTCAGCTGGCACAGCTACAAGAGAAGAAGTTTCAGACAAAGGGCACAGGAGCTGTGAAGGCCCTGAGAATGACCAGGACAGGTTAGTACAAGAACACAAAAGGGGTCACAGCAGCAGAAGACAGTGAAGAACTGAGTGGGAGATCAGGTGGTGAGGCTGAGTCAATTCCTGTATGTCCTAGAGAATAAATCAGTGCATGTGCTCATCCCTCTTCCATGTCCTTTCTACTTCAGGCGAGCCTTTCTTGCTGCAAGAACAGAATATTGTTCCATTGCCATTCCCCTATGCTTCTGGCTCACATCCTATGCTTTAATTTTTAAGATTTATTTTTGGGCTACACATGATGATATCCAGGACTTACTCCTAGCTCTATGCTCAGGGATCACCCCTTGTGTTGCTTGATGGACCCTATATGTTACCTGGGGATTGAACTTGGATCAGATCTCTGGCCCCGCATATTACGCTTTCACTTAAATCTACACTTCTGGACCCTGTGCAATGTTCCTGCTTACTCTTAGTCTGCTGCTCAGTGACCCTCCACAACCCCTCAGCACCACATTTACCAACATTGGTGCCATATAATGTCTTTATGCTTATGATGAAAAATGGAGGCCTAGGTTTCTAGTTTTTGTTTGGGGGCCACACCCAGTGTTGCTCAGGGGCTACTCCTGGAGCTGTGCTTAGGGGTCGCTCCTGACAGTGCTCAGGGAATCATGTGGTGCTGGAGATCGAATGTGGGCCTCCCACATGCAAAGTACATATTAGACCATGGGCTATCTTATTCAGCCCTGTCTGCTAAGAGCTGCTTAGTGGCTTAACTGCCAGCCTCTCCAGTTTTGCCCTTGATTCTATTCATCCTTCCTTACAAAGTGTTGCTTACCCATTGTCTCTTATAACAAGCCCCCTCCGCACTGAGTTGTGTCACCCTTAGTCATGTTATTATTTCTTCACTTATATTTTCTGATTAATATTTAAACAAGTTTTCCTCCTTGCTGCCTTGCTGCTGCTTTTTACTTTAACCCACTTCAACCATCCTTTTGTCTTCATTTTATCTGTAGAATGAGACTGACACCAAACACCAAATTTCAAAAATAACTAGTAGCAGACAGGGCTGGAGAGTTAGTACATCAGGCAGCAGGGAGCTTGCCTTGCATGCAGCCAACCTCAGTTCAATCCTTGGCTCAATATAGAATCCCCCAAGCCCACCAGGAGTGATCTCTGAGCACAGAGCCAGGAGTAAGTCTTGAGTGCCATCAAGTGTGGCTCCAAACCCAAAAATAAATAAACAAAACAATCAGCAGTAAACTATGGACTAAGATTTGGACAAGATGCTATATGTCAAAATGCAGGAGCTATATCCGTGAGTCTCTGGGTTGGTCCACAGTTCCCAGTTTCTTCACTATTTTTTTATATTTTATTTTTTATAAAGTTGTTCACAATAATTTATTACACCGAGCCTGGCAAGCTACCAAGAGCATCCCGCCCGCACAGTAGAGCTGTGGTGTACTTGATATGCCAAAACAGTAACAAGTCTCACAACGGAGATGTTACTGGTCCTGCTTGAGCAAAATCGATGAACAGTGGAAGGATAGTGCTACAGTGCAGTGCTGCTATTCCAATATCAATCCCAACACCATTACACCTTCCCACCACCGTATTTCGAATTTTTTCACCCTGACCTCCAAAGCCTGTCCTCAAAGGACCTAAATAATTTATTTTGCATTGCTTGTTATGAATAATTTGCTAAAAACGATCCTAAAAAGTTTCCTTAGAGGAAAGTGTGTGAAGATTGTTTTATTTCACCTGTAGCCATTAATCCCCTGTATAGGAGACTACTAACATGTTGTTGATACAGTTTGAACCTTGTGTGCTAATATATATATATATGTATATATATATTAAGGTAAAGGCAAAGGTAAAGGCCCTCCCATTGTTCATCGATTTGCTCGAGTGGGCCCGGTAACGTCTCCATTGGAGACTTTGTTGTTACTGTGTCTGGCATATCCAATACGTCACGGGAAGCTTGCCAGGCACTGCCGTGGGGACGAGATACTCTCAGTAGCTTGCCGGGCTCTCCGAGAGGGGCGAAGGAATCGAACTCGGCTCGGCCATGTTGGCTGCGTGCAGGGCAAACGCCCTACCGCTGTGCTATCGCTTATATATATATATATATATATATATATATATATATATATATATATTAGAGATTAGTTTCCTTCTACTTTACAGCCCATCAAATGTGGAGTGCTACTCTTGGTACCTCAGTGGCATAGAGTATAAGATGTCACTCCAGGAATTCTAAAATTTTGAATAAGGTGACACAGCTGGGTTAATTTAATTTTTCAACTGGGTAGTGATTTTGGGGTCTGGAGGCATCTCTATGACATGTCGCTCTGTGTTGATGTTTATGGAGATTTTAGTCACAAATCCTGCATACATGGGTTTTTCAGCAGATTCATTCACTGATGAGGCTCATCTGAGCCTGTGGAGATGGGCCGTGAGCATGGCAGCAATTGAGTTCTGGAGGTTTTTTGCTGCTGAGGCTCTGTTGGGGCAAGTGGGAGAACTCACCCACTCACCCTGAATGAGACAGCCTGGCTCAAGGTCCAGAGCCATGCCTTCAGCATGATTCTCTCTTCCCAGAGATTTATTTGTGGGTCTCAGTTCTTCACTATTGTCTGCCATGAGCACCCACTCAGCATGAACACAAGCACCCCACCAGCTCCACTGGGAAGCCATCAAGCTGAATCCAGCAGCCGTTTGATCTTCACAGTGAAGCAGCAAGTTCCCAACACCCAAGTTTTTGGGGATCCAAGGTCTCAAGCTAGAGCAAGGGATTCCCTTTTCAGGAAAAAGTCAGTCCTTGCCTTTGTCCAGATCCCCAGGCCAGCAGATTTGTCGTTTATCCTCACAGGAAAGATTATCAGGAAGGAAAATATTGAAGATTCTCTTCCAAGATTTAGTTGTGAATCTGTAGAGTTGTGCCGGTGGTTGGGTT